GCTCTCAGGTTGTATCATGTAATATGATCTAGATGAGGCGGACAGGGTAGGTCCCTCTCCAGGACGCGGTTGGGGTGTCAGACAAGCTGCTCCTCTAATAAGGACTGCCATTCTAATGATCACTCAGTCGGCCTAACCTCTAACCCCCACCGTTATAAGAAACAGAGGGAGGGGCTGGATGGGATTGTGGGAGGACCTACGAGTTCAAATGTGTGGTATTTACATCAATTAGACAAGCAAGATGGAGGTGCCCATCGGAGCCCATTAGGGTTGTTGTGGTTAAAGGGACAGAGAGGGAGGGACACGGAGCGCCCAGAGGACATATCACAGAGCAGCCCTTGATCACATCCTGTCACATTGATGAGAACTCTGTCAGAGCTACAGATGTACTGTTTGTATGTTACTGTGTAAACTTGGGGCTGCCAGGCCTGCTTTCAACAAAATGTTAGATGTTGTCCAAATGTTCCAGTTATAAAATCCAAATGTGCTTTTGGAGTCAGAACAAAGTCAGAACATCTCCACTTCGTTTAGTGTTTTGGGGCCAGAATTTTTGAGTTTCTTTATTTTGTCAGGGGGTTTGCTTATCAGATGCAAAATAGCCATCCTGCTGTTCCAAAACGCCCTCAGTGGGTTCAAATTAGTGCTCCCCTGCTTCTTGTTTTTCTGTTAAAAATACCACCGCAACAAAAGGATAACAATAGTTTTTAATAGGTGTTTCTCTGGCAGTCAACACAAAATCTTGGTTCAATTTTGTAATATTTTGCTGCTGAACAATTGGGCATGATTTAACCTAATTCATTGAATATGGCAAAGCACACCAGCGTGACTTCATTATATCATGGGGACATAATTTCGTAGCAGATAAAAGGTGCACAGAGAGAAAACTCAGAAAACAAAATGAGGACTTCCTAAGGCATTAGGATCCTATCTTTTATTAATGTCACTACTTCCTCTCTAGGACAGCAGGTATTTGTCAGTCAGAATAGATAATGAAGATATTGGTGAGGATGGTGAACCCACCCCTTTAATATTCACATAGTTTATTATAATGAAAGGTATTCAAAGGATAATTATAATAAAAGTGGGATCCCCTACTGGTATCCCAGCACAGTTGTGCAACTAGACAGTCAGCTACAGGCACTGAATGAAAAGATCACACAGAAAGTAAAGAAAGGATCCGTAAGTACATAAAGCAAAGAGGTAATGGTTTTGCAGCCAATTGTACATCAGCAGCGCCGCATGCTACACTGCATGACAACAAAATAACGTGGGGGAGCAGCTTTCGGTCTTGTCACTATTCTAACGTGTTTTGATCTTTATTTCTCTCTTTCTTGATGCTACTCTCTCTGTAGCATCAAGTCTTTTCCCCACACTGACCTTTATCAGTGTCTTGTTGAAACAGGTTTCATCTCGTACAAAACAATACACCGAGTGCACAATGGATATTTGTGATTTAAGATATATCTACCAATGAATCTTGGCATCAAAGCAGCAAAAATAAAAACAAGAGTTGAGTAAGACAGAAATTTCATCAGGTGACATTAGTTGCATTTTGAGGTCATCAGCAGAGGACATTGATGGTCGTGTGTGCTGTGGCACCCCCCGATGAGCATATCAGTAACATCTTCCGAGCATCAAAGCATCAACTGGTGTATTGTACTGTATGTGTAAACAAACTTAGCCGCCCCTAAAGCAAAGCCATACCAGCCCGCCACAGCTTCAAAAGTTTCCTGCAAGCTGTAGGAAGCAGGTGAAAAAATAGAAGAGTGTTGAACTCTGACCTCAGGTGCACACTTGTTGACTGATGTTTCACACTGGGGTTGCCGTTTTCCCTTTGCAGCTTTCTTCAAGAGGAGCCGATCTGTGTGTGGGTACGTGTGTGTGTGCATGTGCATGTGAAGTCCCCGGGGAGATCATCCCTGTCTCCCTTTGAAGGCTCTGCTCTACAGAGCTGTTTTCATACAGCACCAGCTATGGGCTTCCTGTCTCTGCTGACCTCCTTCATCTTCTCGCGGACACTTGAGAAAACTTTCCCAGCACAGACACCTTTCTCTGATTAACTACAGAGACTCATGCAAAGATTTTGTAGCGCAGAGTGCAAATCTCACTCAGGAACAGAAATAGTCCAGTCATCAGTTAAAAAGTGGTACAAAAAACTGAATCACAGATAATCTGATGTACATTTCATCAAAATTTTAATTAGCTGGAAAATGAGAGAACAGTCAGTTTTGCAGAAAGTCAAAACATCACAGAGTTTTAGTTTGCCTGTTCTGCTGGCATCAGTTCTAAGCTGCCTCTATCTGACCGGGTTACAACTGTTTAAATAATCCTACAGGTTGAGAACAAAAAGGAAACATTTCTGAAAACCTAAATAGACTGTCCCAAACCACATATTGTCAGAGAACGACCATGATCACACTTGACATAATGTTGAGTTTCACAGTGACTCGGAGACAAATAAAGAATTATGAAGTGTACAGGAAAATATTGTACAATACACAAACATTGCAATGTACCAGGCAGCTGATCAATAAATAAAATATTTCCATCACTGTGGTCAAGGCTTAGATTTCAATCGGTGTGCAGACAAACACTCCTAGACATAGGAAGTTGTGGGAGACCCAGTGGTGGATGAAGAAATTTGCAACTTACTAACTTTACACAAGCAGCAGTAAATAACCGTTATAAATGACAAAATAATAATAACATGGCAGAAATCCAATCTGTTGTTACTGTACAAGCTAGTCTTGGCACTGCAAATAACAGAAAATTAACAAAGTTGCAATGTATAACTCCCAAAAGCCATTTTTAAATTGAACCAATGACATGAAGGGTACACGTTGTACGTTATCAGTCCATCTAAAAACATAAAATAAGACTTGACGATATGTCTCCTCCTACATTTGCTGGCCAACATTGGATCCATAAAATCCATTTTATGGATGCTGCCATCTTGTATTATTGGAACCAGTCTGCAAGGAAGGTAAGAAAAAAATACTGTCTCCCCTCCCCCCATATGTGCGCTTACACACATAATAGTGTTTTGTTAGGCATCAAATAACTAAAAACAGCCATTCATCCATCCATTATCTTTTCCCGCTTCTTCCTTTCTGGATCATAGGGATCACTGGTGTCCATATCCAGCAGGCACTGTGTGGGTAGGGAACACCCTGGACATAGTGGTGTAGTCTACATTTTTGTAGTGGGTATACTGCGCTAAATTTAATTTTATGTTGGATGTTGGACACTGCTGAAGCCACGCAGCACGAATGTCCAACGTAAAGCTGACTTTGCCGTGGTCGGTCCGTATATTGTGCTTAGAAACCAAAGTACAGTGGTTAGTACAATGTAATCGTCAATTTATTGAGATTTTTAAGCTTATTGAACATTTCCAAATTTCTCTGATGCTCATATTTAAATAAATGAACAACAAACTTTGTACAACAGTTGGCTTTGTATTAAAAACATGTTATAGATTTTATAAAACAGTATCAAAGCATGTTCAAGTATTAAGTAGTAAGTACAGAGTTATTAATTATACAATAATTCAATGGATAAGAGAATGTAATAAACAAGCGCTGCATACCGATTAAGGAAACGTTTAACTGCTGCTTAACATATCAATGACACATGCCTAATATGTCATGTATCGTCGAGCACTTTTAAGTGGGTTTACTGAAATTCTTAAGCTTTTCTAGTGGATATACATCGTATACTGGCGTATCACGTAGACTACACCACTGCCTGGACAGGTCTCCAGTCCATCACAGGGACACAGAGACAAACGAGACAACCATTCACTCTCTCACTCACAATTAAAGACAATTTAGATTTATTTAATTTAGATTTAGCCACATGTATGTTTTTTGATTTGTGGGAGGAAACCAGAGTACCCGGAGAAATCTCACACATGCACAAAGAGAACATGCAAACTCCACCCCACCTCCAGCCAGGATTCAATTCAGCAACCTTCACATATTAGAAAAAAATACATATTTATCCATATAGCAGCACAGTAAAAACATCAAAGTCAGAATGTTGTCTGTAGCTCTTAACAGAATATAGTTCTTGTGTCTAGTTGTTCATTATTCTACTCATAGTTCAGGCCAATTTAGAATTGCCAACAAACCTAACATGAATGTTTTTTTTTTGGTCTGTGGGACGAAACCAGATAATCTAGAAAAACCATTGCATGCACAAAGAGAATGTGCACATTTCACTGAAGTCCCAGTCAAGTTTCAAACCACATATAACCTTGTTGAAATGCAACAGTGCTAACCAAGGCAACTGTTATAGTGTCATTTAGTATCAAAAGTAGTTGTTGAAAATGTTGCTCTAATGTATAGCAATTGTCATTGTGATTGAAGTTCTTATTACAATGAAATGTTATGCTAATGTTGGACAGTTAGGCCATCACATGAAAATTTAATAGACAATATTGTATTTCTATTGTTTGTTTCTCAAGTGATATAAGCCAATAAGTAGTATATTGCTGCTGCATTTGACATCAACCCCTCAAAAAGTTGCCTTTCACGAGGCAAACTTGTGTAGACTTTAAAAAAACCCTTACAAAATAACTCAATAATCGACACCAGATTTCTAGACCTACATGGTTCTCTGTCCAGCTGACACAACAGAGTCAAAGATGAAAAGCGAATGGAGTTCACCATGGATCAAGCCCACATGGCCTTCAAATGGGGCAACAAAACGGCTCGTATCCAGCTGAGGCATCCAACACCCCCGCCCAACATACACCCATAAAATCAAATTATGCACTTGACACTTGGTTAACTTGACACACACATGAAAGGGCCCACAACTTTATATAAAACTACAAAATGACATTTGCAACTGTTCAACATCATTTTCTAAAAACAGACAAAAGCAGTAGAGCATGATCATGGTCTTTATTTGAAAATGTTCCAAGCTAGAACAAGTGAGATAAAATAATGCTAAATGAAAAGAGTGGAAAATGTTGTTTTATAACAGGCAGGGGTCCCTCAGGGTGTGCCGTGTTTAAGCTGGTTCAGTTTGCGTTGCAGCATGTTGTAGTTGTCTCTTGTACCGGGAGCCTTAGGGTCCAACTTTAGAGACAGCTCATAGTGTTTCTTTGCCAGTTCCAGCTTTCCCCAGCGATGATACAACACAGCTGGCGGAGAAAAATAATAATCATTTGAAACGGTACAACAATTCAAATGTTACTGATGCAATGCATTAAATGCAAGTTTAGCTGCTTTGGTAGAAGGAATATTTGCAAATTTTAGTTTAGGGAGCGCTCTGAAACTTCCCATCACCATCAATTCTGAATTGAAGGTCTTACCTAAATTGCCATGGCAACTAGCAGCATTTGGGTTGATCCGAAGGGCATGAAGAAAAAAGCCCTCTGACTCCTAAAAGATAAAAAAACAAACTGAATTGTTTTTTGTAGTATGAAAAATTTACCACTCCTGATTCAGAGCAGATGTAGAGAACAAAGCAGCAAATTTATTTTTCATTCTTCACATGCATAAAGAACAGTTGTTGTTTGAGCCATGTTGACTGACCTTGTATTTCTGTAATTTCCCCAACACGTTTGCCAATGAAAACATGATGGTGTGATCATCAGGGAGGAGCTTCAAGGCCTCTCGGCCAATTAGCTCTGCTTGACCCAGGTTACCTTGAAAACAGGAAAATTCACTAAAATCTTCGAGCCATGGAATAACGAAATCTACACATGCCCACAAACAGTATTATTCAACAAAACGTAATATCTCAACTGATGGTGGATATTATTAAAACCGTGACAAGATTAAATAATTTGTATGATTAAAAATCAGAAATTTACCAATACTTTTGATAGATCAAACACAAAAAAATATTTTTTGTCTGAGCTTTCTAAAGCGGTGCCCTTCCCTCTGCACACACATAAAGGAGTGGTTTAGTCTCCTAATTAAAGTTGAGCACAGGCCCCACTGAGTTATTGATCTGAGTCACAGATCTGTCTGATGTCTGGCCAGAAATGAAGAAAGAAGACAGACACGAGAAACGGAGGGTAAAACAATGGTAGATATGTCCTCAGTCATGGCCTGTGCCTTTTAGATGCAGTTTGCCAAAAAGCGTGACTGTGAGCATCAACCTAAATTTGAACTGATTCAATCTTTAGTTGGTGTAATAATGTAACACCAAAAAATATAAACATCAAAGAAAAGAAAAAAATCCAAAATTTCACCTATTGTTCTATTCTCTTTTTGGGGGGATTTGGTCGTGAGCGGTGCAGAATTATTTCTGTCAGATTTGGGGAGCATTTGCAGCAGGGGGGTATTGGGGTTCGGAGGGGGCGCTGTTAAAGCTGCGCTCGCTCTTGTTTGATCGGGAACATACTGGGCTCTGATTGGACCATTCCCGTGCCCTCCTGGGAGACTCCGCCCCCGTGGGAGCAGCTTCTGACAAAACGGCTCGAGCTTTTGGAAATCAGAGCATTCTCCACACGGCAGGGAAGAGTGCCTTCAGAACTCACAGCACAAAAGCTTTAATACATAAATTTCAAGCATTGATGATTCCTGCTCTTCCGGTCTAATCTTGTTGGCCATTTAGATTTCCTGCTTGTAAAAAAATAAAGCTGTGGGGTTTTGGATATTAATGCTGAAACAAACCCACAACACAGAACCTTTGATAGCCTTTTGACTCATAAATTTACCAAGAGTGCATTCAAAAATTGGTGAACTGTGACCTACTTTTTGTATAAAAAAAAGATTAAATTAAATTCAGTTTATTTATAAAGTGCCAAGTCACAACAGAAGTAATCTCAGAGCACTGAGCAGAAACATTCATATACTTAAAAAGTAAGTTAATAACATTATTTTTCTGAGGAGCAGACTGCTTTGAGTTTAACTTCATTGCAGACTCCCATCTTGAGCAAACATGAAGGCAACAGTGGAAAGGAAAAACTCCCGAACCAGGCTCAAGACAAGCGGCCATCTGCTTCGACTGGCTGGGTTTGGCAGGAACAGATACACAAAGGCAGGTCGAGAATCAAATGCTAATATAGAAAAGTATCAAATGAAAACTATTCAATTTTAACAATTCATTTAAGGAAATGAGGTCAATTTGTCCTCCACTAGTCTAAGCCAATAGCAGTATAACAAGTCATCCTAACTATAGGATTTATCAAAAAGGAAAGTCTTAAGCCTAGTCTTAAACTGGACAATGTGTCAACCTCATAGACAGAAAATGGAAGTTGGTTCCACAAGAGAGGAGCCTGATAACTGAAAGACCTGCCTCCCATTCTGCTTTTGGAAACTCTAGGAACCACAAGTAAGCCTGCAGTCTGACAGCGAAGTGCTCTGTTAGGAAAATATGGAACAATAAGATATCTAATATAAGATGGAGCTAGGTTGTTGAAGGCTTTGTAGGTTAGAAGTAAGATTTTGAATTCAATTCTGGACTTGACAGGGCACTAAAGGAGAGAAGCTAAAACTGGAGAGATATGATCTCTCCCACTAACTCCAGTTAAGACTCTGGCAGCAGCATTTTGGATTAACTGAAGACTTTTTAATGAAGTATTTGGACACCCAGATAACAAACCATTGCAATAGTCCAGTCTAGATGTAACAAATGTATGAACCAGTTTTTCGGAATCATTTTTAGATAAGATGTTTCTAATTTTCGTGATACTGTGCAGGTGGAAGAAGGCGGATCTAGTAACATTTTTAATGTGGGGGTTAAAAAACATGTCCTGATCAAAAATAACACTAAGATTTTTAACATTAGAGCTGGAGGCCAGATTAATGCCATCCAAGGAGGGTGAAAGATTGAAAAAATGATTCCTACTCAGGTTCAAAAACTAAAACCTCAGTCTTGCCGAGTTTAAAAGGAGAAAATTTAGGGTCATCCAGGTTTTTATGTCTTTAAGACATGCTTGAAACTTGTTCAATAAATAAATAAAAACAGTTCAATAGTTTTCCTGTGTTTTGTTCTGGATGTGTTTTTGTCATTACCTGTATTGTCCAGCAGAATGACCATATTGTTCCAAGCCAGGCTGTGGTCAGGTTTTAGAACAGTTGCATTTCTCCAAGCATTCAGGGCATCTATATGTCTGTTTTGGTCAGCATACTGTCACAAAAGAGAAACTGATGTAAATACCCAACGTAAAGCAGATATTTGTTTTTTTATCTGTTTTAATTTAATAACCAAATTTTAGACAAACGATAACTCTTAATTTTTTTGTGTATTTGAACACAACAACAGATGACTGAGAAACCTCACCAAGCGTCCCAGGTTGTAGTAACAGTCTGGGTATTTTCTACGGAAGCGGATAGCATTTCGGTAGCTCTGCTCTGCCTCCTCAAACTTTCTGAGGCTGTTCTGAACTATACCAAGATTCATCCAAGCTGCAGCAAAGTCAGATCTGCACAGTTAAATAAAGAAAAAACAAAACAATCAACAAGAAGATCTGAAAACAGGATAGCTGGTGTGTATTTAATGGAATATTCTTTTACATAGAAAAACATACTGAATGGAAACAGCTTTAGACAACAGCTGTTCTGCCTCAATGAGTTCATTCCTCTCCTTCAGGATGTTCCCTAAGTTGTTCATTGCATGAACATAAGTTGGATGTAGCCTGAAAGCCACAGACATGCAAAGCAAGTGATTTTTTTTTGTTTGTCTGTTAATGCCGATTAGTCTTTTGTTAGTTATGAGGAAACAAACCTGACTGCCTCTCTGTAATATCTGACAGCAGCAGTACTGTTCCCTCTATCAGCCAAGTTCTTCCCTACATTATAATGCACCTGTGGAAAGACATCAAAACATCAAGTTTCAGGTAGCAGCTCAGTGTATGACCATAACTTATTTAGACGTTAGGAAAAGGGATTTTCCAAATCAGGAAACACAGAAGTACCTTGGCATTGAGTGGACAGACAGACAGGGCACTGACGAATAGGCTTTGTTCAGACCTCCACTGGTGACTGCGAAGGGCACATCGGACTACATGCACACTCAGCAGTGCAAGCACCATAACGTACAGCAACTTCTGAACAAAATGAGAGATTTAAGTTATATTTTATGATTCATTTCAATGTAACAGGACAATGTATATTAAGTGAATGTAAAACTAAACATGTAAATGTACTTAGGTTAGACATATATGATAATTTTCCTCAAGAGTAACTTTAAATGTTTGCTTTGAATGTATTAGATCAGGCAGCATTTAAAAAAAATGTAATCAAAAATACATTTAAAAAACTTTGCATGATAAATATTTATATTCAGTGAACATGTAAAAAAAATTGTATTTTATACTGTAGTGAACCTAACCTAAGGTCAAAACCCTTGACCTTAAGAACC